TAAAAACGCTGCAGGATTTCTCAAACATGCATGAATGAGCCAGAGCAAGGCTTTGTGCATGTTTTTTATGAGAGTATAACATTATAACATGAAATAAAACTCAAAAAACTGGATTTTACATGATATTGCCCCTTTAAATTCAGTTTGTGTTTAGTGAAATTCATTTTCAAACCAATGCATTTGATTTCAAATTATGCAAATCCAGATTAATTCTGAGTGGTCAAATTCAGTTTCTGATGACACAAGTTGTTTTTTAAGTTAGCTGAAAAAAAAAACGAAAAGAGGATTGGGGAAACCATGTCCACCACTGCATATATGGATGTTAAACAGTTGTTTTATGTTTTTAAAATTCAGAATCAATCCTTTTAACTGTCATTTTGCCTCATTTAAAAGTCTTTAAGCTCAGAAAACACAAAGCAGGATTGAGAGAGTGAGAGGTGAGGCAGCCTGCAGTCTCCTGTAAATGCCTTCAAACGCACTTATGTAAGAAATCATTTGAAATTCTATTTCAGTGTTGCACAAAGAGATGAATCATTTATAAGTGGAGATATAAATGTTTTGGAGGCGGTGAACTATATGACTTAGAGCCACTGATTTCTCCGTCACTGGACTGTACCCGCGTAAGAAAAACATTATGTAACCAAAACAGAATTATAATCACATAATTAAAGCTTTGAAAATATGTTTTGGAAAGTGTTTAGAAGCCATGTTGTGGGCTGAAATAAGGGCAAAGGTGAGGATGGTTAAATGCAGCAGTAGGACGGATGCTTAAGAGTTCGTGGTGGAAAGATGAGGAGGAGGAGGATGGATGCAGAGGAGAGATGGCCTCCAGCCAAGGGCTCTGCAGTAAAATTGCATAACAGCGGTTTGCCTGCAGAAAGTACACAATACTCTGGTTTGTCGTCGGCTCGTTAATTTTCATTCAGCTGTGATCTAATTAAAGTTTTGTTCCAAAGAAACTTTGCTGTGCGGAAGGAGTGTTTAGAAGGTGAGCAGAAAACCTGTRTGTGAACGATCRTTGGTGAAAGCAGCTTGTTTTTTGTTTTGTTTTTTACACATATGGTAGTGTGGTCAGTTTGTTGAACTGCCACCTTGTGTGACCTGCAGTGCAAGGCTGCCTCCGCTGCACCTCATATATCACTGTCTCTGTGCATATGTGTGTGTGTGTGTAGTGGGGGGTGGTCCAGTGTACGTGTGTGCCTTAGTAATTGGGTGGATTTGCAGACAAAGCAGCGTTGTCTGTGACTTTGAGACCAGGGGTGGCTTTCTGCGAGAAAGATTTATGCTTCAGAAAKCCCTGTCTCATTGTTTTTCTCACATTTTTTTGATGCGTTACATGAGGTTTTACAGCTGAAGTAGGTTTACCACGACTGGTGACTTCATGTGTTTATATAAAAGTGCTTCAATGAGAGATGTCTCGATCAGACTGMGGGTATCAACTACCGCCTGTTTTCTTTCTTCTTCTTCTTTTATCTTCATCTGAGTCTTCTACCTCTCCATTCTACAAAATGTTTTAAAAACCCACACTCATTTATAAACATTTCAGACTGTGTGCTTGAGTGTTTCCAAAGGCTACAGCGCAAACAATTTTACAGATTTTGAGCTGAAATTTGATGTGGTAGTAGCRGACGGTCATCTCAGTATATGTTCTGTAAGCAACTGATGATGTGAGTCCTAGGCCTTTATTTCAACAGCATTTAAAGATAAAAGAAAATATTAAAATTGATGTTTCTTTGACCATATTTTTGTAGAGCTACAAAGCTGTATTTGTTGAAAATGAGCAGTGATGAGCACAGCTAACCGGAAAGTTAGCTTTACTAACCATTATCTGCTAAACGATCTTAGCTCTGCTAATGCTAAACAGACAAGATTAGATCTTTGGATCATATGGCAAATTTTCCAATCCTAACCAGTTATAGCTCTGTCTACCTTGTGATGCTTCCAGTTTAATCCTTTCAAAATAAAAGCATATTTTGATCGAGTGTGTATTTTTATAAATATATTTGAAGATCTTAGTTTGAAGTTTAGCTTCTAAAGATGGTACACAGTGCCTAACACGTCCAGCACTGCCTGTATGAGGGGATAGTTTTTGTTTAATTCAGGATAAAAAGCATAAAAATACAAGTTTTACACATGTGAATATTTTAGTGGACTTAAAATGAGCAGAACATATTTTAGTGGAAGCTAATTGGTCTGCTATCAGTTTCTAAAGTTAGCAAAAAAACTAATCTGCTTAAAGGGGCAATATTATGTGTTTCTCAGGCATATATTTAAATACTATACCATAATAAAATATCTGTCACCTTTAGCTGTTATTAAAATGCTGTTTTTATGTTTAAATAGAAAATAAACTTATCTTCTCATCACTTCCTCTTCTAAATGCCTCGAAATTGGCCTCTGTCTCTTTAAGAACCAGCTTGCTGCCTTTCGCTTCTGTCCCGCTCATTTCAGTGTGGGTGGGGTGGTGGGTGTGGGGGAGTGGCTATGATGCAGTTTACTTGGCATCTGAAAATACATTTCCTCAAAGGTATTTTTAATTAGAAAAGAGCTTCACTGAGTGAGAAGTAGTGTTAAGAGCAGCAGACAGTTTAAGTTTCACTTTCAATTTCACCGCTTGTTTGCTTTGTTACTGCTGAGACCCTGCAGGAGTCATGGGCGGGGTGTGTGGGCTGGGGGGTGTGGAGGTGTGCTCCGTGATGATGAAGCTCAAGCTTGGAAACACAGCCCAGAGAAGGAGATGGTCCCAAAAGGTGGTTCTAGTCCCAACCAGTCGTTTTTGCTCCCCTGCCTGGCTGCCTCAGGACACTACAGGATTTCTCAAACATGCATGAATGAGTCAAAGTAAGATTTTGGGCAAGTTTTTGATGAGAGAATAACATTATAACATGATATAAAACTCAAAAAAGTTGATTTTACATAATATACAGTAGCACCTTTAAGGAGAAGCTACTTCCGCTAATAGATTAACAGCACTTTGCCCACCACTGACATTTTTTTTTACAAATGTTTAAACTCTCTCCTAATAATTTCAGGATATTTGTTGCAGCCTATGATTTTAAATATAATTAAAGGTTATCCTGAGATATATTGAATGGTGACATTTGAAAGAGTTTACTTCAGGGCATTTTCCGGATGTATTGGTGTGCATTTCTGAAATATTGGCTCACTTTTTTCCTGCTGTTTATCAATGTTGACTTGTTTTTAATGACCTCAGCTGTTTTTGTAGGTAGTTGGCAGCAGTTCACAAATTTTGACACAAGGAATTAAATTGTGTGGATATTTTCTTTCTCCATGGATTCATTTTGTTCCTCTCTTCCTTAAATACACGGCTGTTTGTTTAGGTCACACTCACTCGATGTAGCACTTAACTCATGCGTTCCTAATAAAATTCAGCTTTGCTTTGTTGTTGTATTTAAACAGATTTATTGCCGACTATAGCAGACAGGTGGTGTTAAGGATTGAAAACCTCAGGTGGAAAACAAATAAAGGCCGCTTGTAAAAAGACAAAAGGACAGAGGGGAAACAAAGTGTGAAGGAATGAATAAAAGAAAAACATCTTGTTCCTTGGCCCTTTCTCCTTTCCTCCTGGGGCAATCGAAGTGGCAGAACTGGTGGCGAACAACAAGGGCCGCTGGGCAGTGATTGGCTCGCTCCTCTCCCGTCGTGGCCTGTTAAATTCCTCTATTACTGCATCGTCGCCCAGCCTCCCCCCACCCCTCCTCCTCTCCTGCCTCCGCCTGGTGAATGTAGAGAGGATGGAGGAGGCAGATTAACACGTTGAGCCATGTGGGCAGAAAGCGCTCACTTACGAGAGACTCGGGAATTCTGTCGCATCAGTTCTACCCGTGGGGATTTTTACAGATACCCTCCAAGAGGAAGAGAGTTATTTTTAATGGACTTTTAGTTCTTGGGATGCATTTTAAATCGTTTTTCTGTGTTTTTGTTTTGATTTGGAGCCTCGTTATTATGAAGCTTTGATCTGATTGGCTGATCTTTGTTGTAGTAAAGCAGCAGGATTGGTCTCGTGTTGGAGGTTCTGTTTGGGATGCTGTTTAGTGTATAACTCTTTTTTTTCCCCTTATCAACTACTCCTGGAGCTGTTTCATATTTTGTTTTTCTTACATAAGAGTCTACAAAGCCACAGCACAGTTATGCCTAGCAAAGAGTCATATGTTAAAAAAGGGAAAAAGCAGAAGAAGAGAGCGAGTCAGAAAGGCTCTTTGTTTACTGCTCTCGGCCTGAACGTGAGCGCCGGTTCGATTCCCTCCCTGCCCGACCCCGCCAAAGGCTCCGGCGTCCATCTCAACCGGACGTCGACCCCCTCCAAGCCCGCTTCCCCTGCTTCCACTTTCTGGCAACCAATCAGATCTTTTGCCCTTTCGCAGCTCACGTCTCTGGTGCGGCGGGCCACCCTGAGGGAGAGCGACCTGGCGCCCAAGTACGAGAAGGTCCACAACTTCAAGGTGAGKRGCTCCTCTGCTTCGTGTGTGACTGTGAGCTGCCTGAGTGACTGCTTCAGCTCATTTACTGCCAGAAAAACACATCTACATCTACAGGCTTGTTTTTAAAGCAATTTCTATTCTATGTGCGAGCAGTCATTAATGAGAAGTGAAAAGGTCAGAGCCACGATCTCCTGAGTGCCACAGAAATATAGACATGTATACACACACACACACACACACACACACACACACACACACACAC